ATTTTATTAACTTTGCGTCTGAACTGCAATTAACCACGTAGGTATTTTTCTTGTGAGGCCAAATAGCCGTGTTGAACTAAATAAAAAAAATAACCCTGAATAATTAACACAGTGCTATCTAATCCCACGTTAAGCAAAACTTGTGTTATAGGTACTAAACAACTGATATAAATACTTAGATATTTTTTTTGTAAAAACATACGTAATATACATAGAAAACACCCAGGCCGATACAAGCAATCACTCATGAACACAAATGTTTGAACCGTGCGAGGAATCGAACACGCGACCAAAGGTAGTAAAGCGGTATATTAAACCGCTAGACCACCGAGTCATTGTTTTTTATATTTCACTATAAGTCTTATCTGGATATCGTATACACAAATTATTATGCCAGTTGTATTTTAAAAGCCCTTTCTTTTTCGATGATTAGATCCATTCTATGGATTTTCTGTGCGAGAGCAGGGTCCATTGTCTGGCAGAGAGGGAAACACCGAGCTGTCCCCGGACTTGTGACCCGGGTATATATGTATATAGGTATATATTAAACACCAGCAATCAACGTAACCTTTACTACCTTATATCGAATTAGTGGTCACAGATACAAACTAATAATTATAACTCTGTGGTTCACGTAACACTTAATTTAAAGTTACAATAGTTAAATATTGTTTTACGACTCTCACTGTGGTTTAATGGCATGTTTTTGTAATTCAAACGGACGTAAAATTTTAACGCTTGTCGTTAAGCATTGTAAAGAAATGTTGATAATAAATGAAAGCGTAAAACAAAAATCTTTATTAAAATAAGTAGATGTCATTTTTGAACACCTACACAAAAAAAGTATTTTATTTCAAGAAGGGTATATTAAGGTTTCTTAAGGGTCGGCAACGCGCACGTGACACCCCTGGTGCTTCAGGCGTCCATAGGCTACGGTAACCATTTACCATCAGATGGGTCGTATGCTTGTTTGCCACCATAGTAGTATAAAAAAAAAGGTTAAGTTTAACGTGTTAGTGTATACTAATAATAATATATATAAATTTATGTATATGCATGTGCAAACATAAACAAATACATAAATAATAATATCTCAAGACAATTCACATAGCGCCATCTAGTCTCAAGATAAGCAGAGTTTATATTACATTTTTTTGTAAATACATACATGTTATATATAAAAAACATTTAGATTGATACAAATAATCATACTAATGAATACAAATGTTTGTATCGTGCGAGGAATCGAAACCGCGACCATCGGAAGTAAGACGCTGTGCTAGACCGCTAATCGTGATCGATATGGCCTAGTTACAATTTATTAGACTTTTTCAGGAGTTACTTAACATTTTGACCTCGGTGGTCTATTGGTTTAGCACACCGCCTTACTTCCGATGGTCGCGGGTTCGATTCCTCGCACGGTACAAACACTTGTATTCATAATTGTTTGTGTCGGTATGGGTATTTAATATATATACTATGTATGTATTTTTGAAATAAAATATCTATGTATTTGTGTCAGTTGTTTAAAATCCATAATACAAGGTTTAGCCAGCCTAACTTGGGTCTAGATGGCGCTGTGTGAATTGTACTGAGATTATTATTATTATTTTCAATATTGTAAGTAATGTTTTTTATTTTACCATCCATTTGGAATTCAGCTTTAACCAAGAAGAATGGATGAGGAACTTGCTTGCTGCTCTTTTAATTAGATGTTACCTTGACATAAAGATAATGTATGAATAGAAACTACTAAATAGCACGAATTCGTAGGAATATGCGATATGTGGTTTAGAAAAAGTAAGAGGAGAAACATACAGTCGAAAAAAAATTACTGTATAGTTTTGATAGAATAAAGGTTATATGTGTACAATATTTCCACAATCTCCAATTTCATAAATGTTACGCATAAACAAATTTAATAGATCATAAACAGCAGTTAACTTTTTAATTATGTTTTTTAGGTTCATCCAAAATGTTCCCAGAGATACGGCCCAGTTATTGGGGTCGAAGCCTCGTATCTTATCTGCCAAAGCCGTTGTACATTAGGTCGCTGTTTCCTTGCGTTACACAAACCTATTTGTTAAGTCCGTTGGATTTGCTGGGAGAATCTAATTTATGCCATTCCGTGGAAGAAAACATTGTTTTTGGTTATTTACTTCGACATTCGAAGACCAAGACACAGCTATATCAAGCAAGTTCAAATTCAAATTCAAATTCAAATTCAAAAATCATTTATTCATGTAGGACATTTTAGCCGCTTATGAACGTCAAATTTTTACATTATAATTTTATTTTTTTCCCTACCTAGTTAAAGAAAAAGTTGGAGTCGTGTCGTATCAACAGCTAAAGGGACTGATAGAAGATCGTGGAAGGTGGCGGGAGCTCCACCGACAAGAGCACAGCTCTTAAATTATGAATGAATGAATGAACTTCGACATTTAGTATTTGTGCAGACATTAAATACGTAATAAGCTGACGGCCAAACTGCAAGTAAATGGTAAACCAAGGTCACTCTATTCTCCCAAATTTTAATTTCAAAATGAATCTGTATTGTACACGTGTACAACCATATTTGAAAAGAATACGACCTGAATCGTGTCAGTGAGTTCTTCTCATCTCGAAAGCATTACGAACTGACGGTAGATTTGACATATCATAAGTCTATAATAGATCTACATGAATAAAGATATTTTGATTTTCAAAGAATTCAGACTTATTAAGATAGTCTAGGTATTTGAAGTCGGTAGAAAAGGAAATGGTAACTGAAACAGCAAGGAAAATCCCGTTCTATCTGATTCAGTTACAGCTATAATTAGACGTGATGTGACCTGTATTTTAAGAGAAACAACAGGAAACTGATTTTAATTCGCTGTACTTATTTACTGAATTATTACGGTATATATAAATAATGAACTAATGCAATGCGCATTTACGTAATATGTTTAATCGCGATTATTACATTTATTATATAAAAATATATCCACTGTTGCTTCATTATCATTACATAGTATAAAATAAAGGCGCTGTCGCTGTCTGTCCGTCCCTATGTATGCTTAAATCTTTAAAACTACGCAACGAATTTTGAAGCGGTTTTTTTAATAGATAGAGTGATTCTAGAGGAAGGTTTATATATATAATATATGTACACTCGGGCGAAGCCGGGGCGTGTAGCCAGTTAAAAACAAAAGTAGAATTTTACAAGTTTAAGATTATATGTGACAATTATTTATAGCATAGGGGAGATACGAGTTTGCGGCTCACCTGATGGTAAGTGTTTACAGCCGCCCTTGAGAAACACCAGGTGAATAGCACGTACGTTGTCGGTTTTTTAATTAGGAATAAGCTCAAATAAGATATTTAATAAAATACAGAAAATTCTAGCAGGTTATATGTGAAAAATTAGGCTCCGTTTAAGGCTATATAAGTAACAATCGTTTGCATTTATCTTTTATATATGTTTAATTAAATAAATACTTTAAAGTTGAGACCACGTTTAGTTAGCAACGAAGAAATAACGAAAAGGTTAGTCGACATCACAGAAGACCGAAGAGCTGGCAGCTACCTTGGACAAAGAATTAGTCTAGCTATTCAAAGAGGGAACGCTGCCAGTATCTTCGGAACGTTGCCTAAAGGGACCCCTTTTAATAATATATTTTGGTCATCATATAATTTTTTTTTAGCTTTTTAATTTTAGGTTCTTAGTTGTACAATTAGGTTATGTAAATACTAGTAATAAATTTAAGTTAGCAACTCCTAATACCAATGTAATTGAAGCGTAAATAATATTTTGCAAACAGTACAATATTTAACGATCGCACGAAATGGATACAAAATCGATAGCCATTAATTGAAATGTCCTTCGAACGGTGGCAACAGTATTGTCGGCAAGCAATAAAGTCATAAATGACATTCCACAAAATTGCTTTCAATTGAGCGATTTCATTAGACATTATTGGGGGGATGTTTTGCTCAAGTCAGCTGGTTTCGTTGGCTGTTTGCCAAAACTGAAGACCTTGCATTACCTCTGAAACTTGGGTTAAGTAAAACATGCAGGACTTATTATAATGCAGTTTGGGACGGTTTGTTTTAGAGGTAATACACCGCCATTTTTATATCTTTGGTTTGGAGAAATATTTTATTCAAATGTAAAGGTTTCGGTGTAAGGAGTATCTATTGCCAAACTTCATTGTTTGCGTCCATACTTTGAATCTTAGCTTATATAAAATGTACTAAATTGTCAGTTAGAAGGGTATTCTTACTTTTATTTACTGGTTGTCTTATCTAGATATATGCTCACAGATTAAATTAAATTTCTATCGTCAGTATTATTCTGTATAAAACTATATTATTGTTTGACATAAAGATGATAAAGTTGGTTCAGATATAAAGGCGCCATGTAAATTTGGTAATTACACACTGAACTTGACACTAAAGTGAAATATTTATTTATAAGTGAAACATGGACTCTTATCCAGTATCATCAGATTATTTGTATTTTGTCTTTTGTTAAAAATCTATTTTTTATATCAAACAGAAAAAAATTGCTTCTAAGTTTTGTATCTTCTTTATTATCTCATTAGCTTTCCCCCAGGAAAGAATGTTCAGGTAAAATGTATACCTGAGTGAGCGTATTTCAGCATTCTTCCATTATGTGTGTTTTATTAGTGCCTTTTTGTTCTTAATATTTAATTTTAATTGCAAAATGGTGGACAACTGATTATGGAACAATGGCATTATTATAAAGTTATTAATATTTCATATATTTTAAAATGTTCTTGGAAGATATAATCTATTTCCTAAGATGTTATTTTAAATTTTAAAAATAAAACTTTAAAAGATAGTGAAACGTAATCAAGAAATAGTAAAAAGCAATCACTTAAAATTGCGCGCGTTGGTTTTCCGCGCAAATCACGTGCGCTCCTGATCTGATAAAAGAACGCGTGTAAAGGGTTAACACGTTCTTTTATCAGATAGCTGTTATTATCAATCAGACTTACCGGATATGTTGAGTTTCTCCTCATCGTAGTAGTCCGCTTGCGAGAGGAGTTCGTCGTCGTCGTCGGGCGCTGGGCGGGCGGGGGCGGGTGCTGGGCGGGCGGGCGCGGCGGGGGACGCCGTGTGGTCGTGCCCGGTCTCGGGCACGTCGGGGCGGCGGGCGCGCGTCGCGTTCGGCGCGCCGCTCACAGCGAGCACACACACGAGCGCCAGCGGCACCACCACCTCCATGCCGACATCACCGCGCTGCCACGGCTCGGGGTGCGCTGCAACCAAGTCACACTCTGTATCATCCCTACTATATATAGCTTTTTTTCGGATTACTCTAATGGCCGCAGCTGGCCTTTACTGCTTTACCTGATGATAGGCGGCAGATGGCACTCCAAACCCGCGGAAGGACTTATAGAACGGCTGAAGACCAACTCCTCCCTGACGGATACGAATTTAGTCTGAGGGCACCACTAGGGGTTCGAACCTCGGCTCAGACCGTCGTAATATCGATCCCCGTTTGAATTGGACGGGGGTTCGATCGGAGGGGAGAAGGTGTATGTGTGTTAGTAACCAGTCAGCAGTTACCAACTGAAAGTCTTATATCGCTGTAAAAGACTTCTAGATTATTACTGCCGAATGACACTTCATTTAATCTCCAGCTACCGACGGACGGTTTTGATATGTTTTCTTATCGAGAGAGATATGCCAAAGATCACTACATTAATTGAATTAAAAAATAAACCTGTATTATAGTAACTATTTACAAGCTTTTTTGAAAAAATTAAAAGCTTAGTTTCTTATCAATTCTTCTTTTATTAATTACTTATTTTATTTATTTATTTATAAATAAAGTACATTGTGTTTATGAATAAATAAATAAAATAATAATCATCATAATCACAATAATAATGATAATCTTAGCTCGAAAGTACTGTGAACTGAAGGTAAATTATACATATCATAAGAGTCTGTAATAGACTTACATGAATAAAGTTATTTTGATTTAATGAGTTTGGGGAATGACAGTAAAATACTCAAAATATTCAAAATAGTCATTACATAGTATTATATAAAGCAAAGTCGCAATCGCTGTCTGTCCGTCTCTATGTATGCTTAAATCTTTAAAACTATGCAACGGATTTTGAAGCGGTTTTTTTAATAGAGTTATTCAAGAGAAAGGTTTATATATATAATACATGTACACCCATGCGAAGCCACGCCGAGTATCTGGTTACATAGTATAAAACAAAGTCGCTCTCGCTGTGTCCGTCCCTATGTATGTTTAACTGGAAGTTTTATATATATAATACACGTCCACCCGTGCGAAGCCGGGGCAGTAGCTAGTACTTAATAAAGTACTCAACATTTTTATGCCCGTAAATTGGGGCAATTAAACAGTTGCCAATAATATTAAGAGCAACACACAAGTTTCTTGCTCGTTCTTCTTGTGATGAGACAGCTTTCCGAACGAGTGGTAGATAAAAAACAAATTGTTATGACTATTCAAAAGTGCTTAAATTAAGTTTATTTGAATAAATAAAAAAAAAAAAATTATTACTGAATATCCAACTGTATAATACGCAAATAAATTTCAAATTTAATTATATTCATAAAATTACAGGTTACGCTCATGTAGGTATGCATTGTACTCAGTTGGATCGCCATTTTAATTATATAAAAATCGTGTTCTAGAAAAAGTATATTATTCTAGAATGATGATTGGATTTACGGTCGAGGTCTTACTGTAACCTTATTTAATAAAGCACTATGAATATAGGTATGTTATTCCTACGAACGACCCTCGGTAATCCCTATCGGTACCGAGTTTAGTAATGCTATGTACAAGGCTACAGGTGGGTTATACAGTTACTCATTCTATTGTTGGCAGGATTATCAAAATGGAACTTGACCTACTTATTATTTCTACTTAAGGCTGTATCTTCCTTACCCCTTTTCGTTCAATCCCTAGATGAAACTAGTAATATTAATAATAATAATAAAAATTTTGGTGATTTTCACCTGCAATTACAAGCTTAACCATCCATCAAAGGGAGATATACAAAATATAGCTGTACCCGCACTTCGTCCGCGTGGAATTTAACTTTATTTTTCTAAAATAAAAGCAGCCTAAGTTACTCCTTATTACATCAGCTACCTGCCAAAAAAAGTCCCGTCAATATCGGTCTAGCCATTTCAGAGATTAGCCGGAACGGATAGACGGACAGACAAAAATTGTAAAAAATGTTATTTTGGTGTATGTTCCGTATTTATATTCATATGCATGTAGTAAAAAATTGTTATTTCAATATTACAAACAGACACTCCAATTTTATTTATATGTATAGATATATTATACATAATTAATAATAATAATATACGCCATAAAGAGTAAAGAACCAGCAAAAGTTGAGTTAATGAGACCACAACGATAAGAATAATAAACAAAATCGAGAATATAAAATGTAAGAACAATAATAATAATCTCAGGACAATTCACATAGCGCCATCTAGAACCAAGTTAAGCCAACTAAAGCTCGTGTTATGGTTACTAGATAACTGATACAATTACGTAGATGTTTTTTCGTAAATACATACATATTATACATAGAAAACACCCAGATCGATACAAACAATCATACTCATGAACAAATGTTTGTGCCGTGCGAGGAATCGAACCCGTGCCCGTCGGAAGTAAGACGGTGTGCTAAACCGCTAAACTACCGAGACCGTCATGATCTCTGAAATGTAAGCTACGTATTTAATACTTGAAAGAATGTAATAGTTTATAATAATAACTGTAAGTATATTAAATTGGTGCAATATTTAATTCAATTAAAAATATATTTATTCATGTAGGTCTAATACAGATTCTTATGATATGTCAAAATTCACCGTCTGTTGTTTTAGAGTTATATACATGTAAATAAAAAACAGAATTTTAATCAAAAAAGACTCATCTTTTGCTCATTTGTATTGACTATCCAAGACACTAAAGAATTTTGAAAAAAAAAATGCATAACATTGGAATTGTAATGAATTTTCAGAATAACAAAAAATATGTACCTTTATGTTTACTGTAATAATAGAGTAAGTCGAGTAGAGCGGAACGTAAATATTTACGGCAAAAATTTGATTGAAAGTATTGCTAGCGCCCTTGGGTGAGGGCAGACGGAAGGTCTCTGAATAGGGATATAACGAATAATAATAATATAGAATATAATAGAAATATATATTTATATATTAATAGTGTATATAAACATTTGTCTCTATTATGTGACGAAACAAGAAAAAAATTTGGGTGAGGGCAGACGGAAGGTCTCTGAATAGGGATATAACGAATAATAATAATATATATATATATATTTATATATTAATAGTGTATATAAACATTTGTTTCTATTCTGTGACGAGAGCAAGCAAAAAAATCATTTCATACATTTACTGAAGAATTTCGAATATCTAACAATATAGATAATTGTAATTTTATAGTGTGGACACACTTCCTTTAAGGTGAAGTCGATTTTATGATTCTAGTTTTATTATTCCTTTCATTTTATTACAAAATGTTTTAGACCTGTAACACTGCGACTTGCTGAGACCTATTGCGCTAGGTCCGTCAGGGACAAGAATTGAAGGATATTTTTAGGAGCGATGGTTTTATTCTCCTCAGGATAAGAAGTGACGTTATGAGGAATGGTGTCGACACGGCTGCAGTCCCGAACAGATTAGACGGTGCCAAAACTTCAGAACACCGTGATGTAATAGTGTGAAGGAAAAAGAGAAAACTGCACATATTTGACTCACTACTTTTCGAGTTCAAGTGGAGAAAGGAAGGAACAAATAGAATTTAAAACAAAACGCTATAAAGGGCATGGAAGTCTATGGAGAGCGAAAGCAAGAATTTAAAATAGTATCCTCAGGATAGAGTGTGTACTAAAACAGACATTTCGTTTATGCATGAGTGGACTATAACCACATAGGACGTTTCCTGAGATAGAGTTACCTAACCACACTTTGGCCACTTTGTATAAAGTTTATAGTTAGATAGAATATACTTTATTAGTAACACACAGTAAAGAATAATATAAAATAATATATTAAAGGAGATATGTATCGTTACAATGAGGCGGCCTTATTGCTGAAAGCAAAATTTTCCTGGTAACCATAGGGAAATGGTTTGAGAAATGAACAGGTACAGGTAGGAGAAAGCTAAAAGTAACAAACATATAATGATGATGAAGGAAAATAATATAATATGAACTAAAATTTATGTAAAACATGGTAAAACTTAATTAAGAAAGCATATTATGTATGTAATTTTTTTTTATGGATTACTATAATGCTGTTGGCCGCAGTTGGCCTTTACACCTTCACCGGACGATAGGGGGCGAGTGCAGATGGCACTCCAAATCCGCGGAAGGACTTATGGAGCGGCTGAAGACCAACTCCCGCCTGACTGATACGACTTTAGTCTGAGGGCACCACTAGAGGTTCAAACCTCGGCTCAGGCCGTCGTAATATCGATCCCCGTGAATTGGACGGGGGATCGATCGGAGGGGATATGTAAATATATATATTACCTGTCCTTTTCTTATATTTACTTTTTCTATTCACCTAATTGTAGTTAGGACAAAATTGCATATCGATAAGACTGCTTTTTGTATCAGTTAATGTATAAATACATAAAATGAACAATATTTCACTGTTTTCGTTAATTTCTGTCGGTACCAGCTTAAATAATGTACAAGGCCAGGGGCATGGTCATTTAGTTAGTATTTTTATTGTTATGGGAATTATCAAAATGTAGCTTGACCTACAAAATGGCGGTGATTTACATATCTAGGTAATATTAATCTAGGATTATACGAAAATATAGAGTTCGTAGCGAAATAAGCAAATATTACTAGTCATATAAAGCAGGCAAGTTGTACGTTGGTCATACCGAGTGTTTCGGACAAAAACATAATCATTATAGAATAGAATAGAATAGAAAATCATTTATTTAAATATACTTACATTGAAGCACTTTTGAATAGTCATTACATTTTTTTTAATCTACCGCTCGTTCGGAAAGCTGTCTCATCACAAGAAGAACGAGCAAGAAACTTGCGTGTTGCTCTTTTAAATAATGTTATTATTACTTTACATTTTTAAGTTTAAGTGTGTGAATACAAACCACCAATTAGCACTAATTCAATTAAATACTCAAAAAGTAAAAAAAATTTGAATATGTAACCAAC